TTTGTTTAATTCGACTGCTTGAATTGCTATTTCAAGCTTTTGATTTATATTGCAGAGTTGAATGTATGTTTTATAATAGAGCAAATGACCAACGACAAGCCCTATCAACAGCCCACAAACGAATTTAATAGTGGAAAGAAATATTTTGATAACTGGTTATTTGCTCTTTTATAAAATGACTTGTTTCGGTATTGACGTTGGAAAGATTTGTGTTTTTTTTAAAGCAAAATTGAATCCCTTTTTATAATAAATTCTCAGTTTCATCAAGATTGCGCAAACTCATCATTATTATTTAAATATTTTGGTATCAGTATAGTTTTGGTTAGTCTCCTGCTGCCAAAGCGGGCCATTCTTTCTATAACTTAAGTTATAATATAAGCATAAGTCTAAGTATAAACATTAAATCATTACCCATACCAAATGACGTGCATATTCAAGACGCTAGATCATGCGTTAACAAACATCGTGTTAGTGTACATATTAATATTAATATTAATATTAATTATTAAATCGGTTATTTTCCGAATCGTTGAAATATTCCAACAAATATATAAAATATTTGCTAATTTATAATCGATAAATAGATTTGTCGAATACACGTAATTCTGTAACGTTTGCAACAAATAAAACTGTAAATTGCGAATAAAAAAAATTAAAAATAACTAAACTGCTATAAATATTTTTTTTAAAAAAAAACAACATTTGCAGCCGATTATTCTACATAACACAAAACTATTCGCCAACGGCAGGCAGGCTACCACTCTTACCTCTAGTTAAACATAATCACGATTGCTTATTTTGATTTGCTGATTAAACAAGTCATTGTCTCCTAAAGTTTGGTCCGTCTGCCCTTCTAATAATTTATTTTCGTAATCCGCTTTTATTACTTTCCATATTTATTATTATTTCTAACATGATAAAAAGTACATAAAGAATCATGGAATTTGTCCCGATCATAGAAAAACAAATATTTTTTATGTTTCTAGTTTTCGTTTCTTTCTTGGTTTATCATGTGTTGGTGTTAATACTCGTTTAGTAGTTATGATTTTCCGCTCTTCTTGATAAATTTCATAAGTAATTTTTTCTTGATCTAGATATTCCTGGAGAGTTTGGGTATCATTGATTTTAAAATGTATGGAGCAATTTTCTCTCCTTGAGCTTTTTTTAAAATACTTCTAATGGTGCTGTAGTTCTTTGGTTCCATAGTGGATTAATGTAAATTAGTTTTATTTTAATATTTTTATACATAGAGGTAATCCTATATTAATTTTGTTATGGTTTATATTCATCACCTTCTGGTATGATAAAGTGAGCATTAAAATTAACAAGTCCATAAGTCATGAATGAGCACCATTTATCATTATTACTTTCCAAAACGTCATCAGTCACCCTGGTCAATTTTACAGTCACATCATAATCAACCCCTCATTTATAGAATGTTCACTTTGTCTGGTTTTGTTGCAGTATGCCCCAAATAATTATAAAATTTTTGAGATTTAATATCAAATCTTCGAATTTCAGATAGTATTTCACAGTAGAAGAACAACAGTTGACGCTCATAAATTCCAGTTATATCACAAGTCCCATAATAACATGTATTATTTTGTTATAATGTCAATACATGATAGTGTAAAGTTTATATGTTCTTACTTGATACAATGATGCCCCTCAAAACACACATTGGCTTATCACAATTTTTGTTGCGTTCAGTTAAAGTAATGGTAGACGAATTGTAATACTGTACATATCGTAGAATAGTATTAATGTGCGCAAATGCTTTACTATCGATAAGACCATCCACAAGGCACGTTCACGTTCTCGCATTCTGAAAATCGGTACGCTTCAACGAGCAGTCTATTTGTCAGGACACCATAACGACTACACATTTCAAGCAACGAGTTTAAATAACAATGAATACCAAAATATGAAATGGTTACAATAAGAGTTAGGGTTAAAATAAATACAGTACAAATAGTTCAAGACGCGATTTATTTTGTATTAACACATCAGAAGAAGAAGTTCGAGGGAGTATAGTACCTAAATTCGCCGTCCGTTAAGTAATAGTCCTGGTTAGGTTCTCTACTTCTGCGAGTGCCTTGTTCGTGACACGCTGTCTCCGTTGCAAAGTGCTCTTGTTAGTACGACTACGACAAAAGACAAGGTTCCCGGATCAACTTGGTACAAAAAAGGCTTGCTAGAAACTACACCAAGGATAGGAATATGTGGACATTATTAATTTTAATAAAGAGACATTGGGAAATTTAGTACGCGTATTGGGCTAATGGTATTGGGAGAGTATCCAACGGTATTGCAAGTCAAAACAGAGCTATGGATGGAAGCAACTATGGTATCTCGTCTGCTCTGTTTATTATTATTATTATTATTATTATTATTATTAATATTATGTGGTTTGGTAAATTAAATTAACAATGCCTGAATGGTCTGTACCACTGATGATAGATAAGGTAGCCGCGCGATTAATAGCCTCTTAACATCTATAACTGATACCTAAGAGGCTATGTCAGGCTCTGGCTCACGTCAAGTTGAATATATAAAAGACGTTCGAATCTCACGAGGAATAGGGAAGGAATACTTGGTCAAATGGTCAAACAACCTCGTTTATGAGTGGGTTCCGGAGAGAGTTTTACAAGCTTGGAATCATAAAATCGAGGAATTTAATCAGTCTGTAAATAGTATACAAGACAGCGGATGCAACTTACAAATCAAAGAAGAAGGGACGAGTTTCAGTACGAAGAGTCGAGAGGATCAAGAAATGGCTCGGCAAGAGTTTTTTATAAAATTCGCGCGTAATAACAAACCAGTAGGAGTCTCGGACAGTGCGCTTGCACCAACAGTAAGCTTCGAGATTATATACAATATACCCTAAGTCTTGTACTGTGATTAAAGCTGTGAATTTACATATAGGAACTAGTCAAGGCTGGCACTCGAAAGCGTCCTATCTCGGGTAAGTATCTCTTAAACTGAACGTATATTGATATAAGTACAATAAACATTCTGTGTATTTATTACGCCTCAGAAACCCGACCAGAGAAGGAATCGGATGTGGTTATAAATAAGAAATATAAACTACCATCTAGCAATGATGCTATCTCGTCAAATGAACACATATTACACTCTACTACTCCTCTCTCCTTTTCGACGTCACATATTGGAACTAGTTACGACAAGACTAATTCGAGCAATTCACATCGAGCGTCGGATATGACACCACCAATTATTAATAGAGGGTCTCCACAACTAGCAACTGGGGAACATTCAAGGTACATGTCACTTCGGTCGCCAAACAAGCCTGCTATGTATTTATTTGATCTCACAATCATTCATTATTTGGTTCATCGCTGTCGAGGTATACTTGGCAAGGTGTCTTGTCGAAGCGCGTGAACGAACAGTTTGTAGCAAATGTTATGGTTACGTCACTTGATGGCGATAACCGTGCAGATAGTAAGCTTTTGTATGTTTATGTCTTTTTACTTAGTGCTGATTCATCATTATATTATACTTAATCGTATTATAATTGTTTCAGTGACATTCTACAAACGAAGCGACAATTGACAGTGACATCATTAATACCCCTGAAGTACCTTTTAGCGTTATACAAATCGCGTGAAAAAGACAACAAAATAACGGAATCACCATCTATGATGTGGTCCACAGACGATGCATCCACTAGTCTTGAAAACATGGCTACTGAACTCGAATACCGCGGACAGGTGAGTAACAAGAAGTCGAACTTCACTATAACGGAAAAGAATCGGAATTAATAAGTTATAATTACAACTTGATAGGCGAGTATAATATGGTTTAGGCCGTGGATCGTCGTATTCTTATGTCCATCATCAAGTGAGGTTCGCAAGTCCTTCCGAATAGCAGAGCCGTCGGCACCTTTTATCATAGTGTCTTTATCGTTAAGATCTTTGCCAGAAAAGCTAGAATATAGCATCATGATAGACAGTGCTGAACTTTTGACAAGAAGGGATTTAAAAGATGCTGATCAATATAACGGAACGCTAATGTCGCTGGGATTGCAATTTCCCAAAGAGTTTAATTCGCAATTTGCGAATGCAACTTTCACTATAGTCGCTCCTCCGGCAGTGCAGTATGAGACAGATGATATGATTGCGTATTTGAAAACATTAGGTGGAACATACGAACATTGGAACAACTGCCATGACGTCTCAATTGTACTGGTGAGTTTGTGTTATATCCGCGTCGCAGTCAACATAATAAATCTAACAGATTATTTGCAGATTCATCGTATTTTCGTCCGGCAAATGATGACCATACCGCACTTGGATAAATTGAAGCGGAATAAGGTCAGAATATATTTGTTTGGCTATGGAGAAGATCCTTGGGCATCTCCTATGCCGAAAGAAGTCTATCGTGCAGGTGTGTATAGTTGCAATAGAGAAACACGTTCTTGTATTATTTATGATTTGCTAAGGATAAGTTCTTAGGTGGCATCATAACCGTATCCTCGCAGATACTGTGTATGGAGGATGGAGTCATTGATACAGTTCTGGGACATATCAATCACCAGAAGAAAACGTCGCCAACCGCTTTATGGTTGTTTAAAATTCATTCCGATACATTCAGGCATCTTCGAGAGATAATCGATAATGTTTCGGATGTCCACAGTCGGAACAGGTTCGTTGAACTCTTGAGATAGATGGCGAGTTGCTTTTAAATAATGTTAGTGGATCATTCGCGAAGGGTTATCCGGACTTCATTTGCCGGAACACCGACATTATTCACATGAAATAGAAACCATTTTCACTAGTGTTCGTTATGCATGCAATAGTTCTGCTTGTGATATGATTTCATATTGCAACCTGAGAACTTTTTTTACCTTCGCCAGCTACAAAACTTTCTGGTGATTGAGTAACATCGAGCTTGTCGAAAATGTGTTTCAAAAGGCGCTCCTCAGTCAACGGATGTATGGTTTTGCCTGGATGAAAGACCAATCTGATGAGCTTCACATAATGAATAGACATCAACTGGTCAATAGTCTGAGCGTACAATTGGATCGAAGTTATTAGAATATTCCTGCAGCTAATGCACTATTGCCTCACACTGTGAGGCTTTGTGTCATATGATACAATTACATATCAGTCGGAAAAATTATGCGTTTTCAAATATATTACATAGCACTAATTATTTGACATTTTGTATTTATATGTAGAATCCAGGATGCACTCACCAAATTACAAAATGCTATAAACAGTAAGAGAGTTGAAGTGTTTGCACCGAATGAGGTTTGGGAGGTAAATATTACTCTATGCATTTGTTTCATAAAGAATTGTTGTATTGATACTGTTTTTGTTCAACTGTCTGACATAGCCAATAATTCATTGTAATCCATCCGAAATCTTACACTGGTCAATGATGCGAATGCATTTATTTTATCATTACGAGTTTCGACATTTTATTATACTTGACGTTCAGAAAAACGTAGTTTTTGAAAAGTTAGGGGTGAGTATCACAAAGTCTAACAATTTTCGCTTACGCGGGAAACGTAACTGATAGAAAACCTTAACTACGTATTTAGCTTGAAATAATGTCATTAGATCAATTTAAGCAAGTATATGGTCACGTCTAGGTACGTAGCAACACTACGGATCGCTAGACCAATAAACAACCGTAATCTAACTTAAAATCAGGGTTTGCAAATTGGGATCACTATAATTGTGTCAATAATTTGAAATCTCATAAATCAGTTGAGAGTATGATATGTAATTAAACTTGCGTTTGGTTGGAAGTCGTGTTAACTCATCACATTCGCGCGAACGCTCATAAATTCTATCGTAATATTAATATGACTGGATGGTTTATTAGAATAAAAGTTTTTATACTACAAAAATCTTCCATTATGCGTTACTTACTGAGACGTAACGATATTAATGTTCTGACCCAAATCGAAATCTGACCCAATTCGGAATAGGGTCGACCCAAATCGAAATAAGCTCAGAGTGATATCTATGCGATATAATCACAAAATTTATGCACAACGGTGAACACATACTGCACAACAGGGTACACAACAGGGTACAGTATATGTTAAGAGTAATAGTTTTATTTCTAATGATTTGAACATTGGTGGTTGTTTCGATGACAACGTTGACTACAGATACTATTCACTCTCTTACATGAACACCTTCTCGTTGAACAGTCCAATTGACAGTTACATGCACTTGATTCTTCACTATTAACTAACGCCAGACGTCTCGCCACTTCAGTTAGTGAGACAGTTGTGTCTGGTATATCCTCCAACTCATGAAAGTCTGCTAGTGTTAACTCAAGGTCAGCCGCTTGGTAGCATATATCTAACGTACCTAACGTACACCCAAGTCTATATAGGTTATCTCTTACAATTTCTAACACCTTGCATGGCAAAAATTTTCTGCCAAGCTGTGTTCTGTCAGCTTCTGGAATGCGTAGTCTAACTACATCACCAACAACAAACGACTGAACTACTCTTCCACCTCTTCTTAGCATTTTTTGTCTAATGAATTCCACATTGCGATCGATATTTTGTTGCACATTTCGGCGAATTGCGTCATGCATATCTGATTCGTTTTCATTATCGTCATCATCATCCATACGGTCTGTATAGAGTCGTCATTTAGTATATAGTATCATAAATACATATAAAACTCAATTTATACTATTCTTACCGTCTACGACTTGATGCATGCTTTCTTCAAAGGTTTGAATTCTAGCAGGCCACTCTTCAAAGAATTGTTCCATTTGATCGTTTTCTTCGATCAACTTATAACCAGTTTCAGCATCGTTATTCCAATTTCTGAGATCTTCTAAACATCTCATTATAAACCTCTTTGTCGACTCATTCCAGACATTAGGCCTTAGCATGCCACGGAACCATGTATCAAGTCGGAAAACATATGAGGAACGATGCGGACTTGGTGGAATTATGCGGAAAGGTTTATACATCATCGTATCTTGAATGAAGAGCCCCGTAGCAATTTGTTCAATGTAGAATTCGTCGTCGTCTTCAGACGAAAAATCATCATTCTCGGGCGCGTAATTGTCTATTGGTAACTCGTCAACATGTGCTTCATTCGCTTGATCATCAACGCTCACTGGTGATAGAGAGCCTTCTTCAACATCTTCAATTACAACATCGTCGGGAATATCCTCTTCTTCAGTAATGCCGGTCCGAAAGAGTTGTTCAAGTATTGATCGGTTAATTCGAGGCCTTTTTCCAAACACTATACTATAGGGAGTTGCACCAGTCGCAGTGCAGATCTGTGTATTCATCGCCCCTATAGAAATTTTGTTTAGTTCCTAATGTGTTATGAAATATGCGCACAAAGTCATTGTCAAGCAATAATGCAAACAGATAATTACTTACAGACAACCATTGGTAATCCTAAACTCCAATTTCTTGTTTCATTATCTTCAAGCCAGGAAGAAAGTTTTGTTTGTAAAATATCATTTCCTTTCTCTACTAATCCCTGAGATTGAGGATGACGCGGGCGACCATTGATAATTATCGTTCCTGGCCACAATTTTACTAAATCTCGTATAACGTTTGCTGTAAACTCTTTTCCGTTATCAGTTTGCAGAATCGACGGAGGACCAAATTGTGTGAAAATATTATATAGAAACGCCGCTACGTTTATGGCTTCTTTATTTTTCATAGGGCTAGCCCATGAATATCGACTAAAATGATCACGTGCATGAACAATATACTTGTAATCCCCATCGGAAATCGTTCTCATATCAATCAAGTCAACCTAAGAATTAACAATAGTTGAATACATCGATAATTATTATGCCAATGACATATTGCTATATATTCTTACTTGAACACGAATCATAAAACTTTTGGTAATAATTGGTTTGGACGAAACTGGTGTTAACATTCTGCGCCGGGAAGTGCACGTAGTGCAAACATTTACAAATGAACCGACGAGTTCCCGTGGAACACGACTATATTCATCCGATATCTATTCGATAAAAATTATATCAAATTTAGTATGGCTTAATGCGTATATAATGGTAATAGTAACATAATTTGTAGTAAAACTAACAGCTGCAAACGTCTTTTTATATCCTGCGTGTTGAAGCTCATGGTGAGTATTTCCTATGACATCGTAAAGCTCTTCTTTAATGCAGACAGGTTTACTATTCTTTGTGTCAATTAGCTTTACGTTGTCGCGAATGGTTCTCGTTGAGAATTGCTTGCGTGCCCAATGTCGGAACCGTGCATCAAATTCAGTGGTTTCTGGATTATTTAACACGGAAATTATCATGTTTGCTACGTCTTGTGTTATCAAAAATTTTTCACGACGACCATTTCCATCAGCTGTCAAATAATCTTCAATTAGCTGATCAAATTTCTCCCTCGTAACAAAAACAAACGCAGTGGAAGACATTGTTAATATAAATGGGTATCGATATATGTGTGAATAAAGTTTTAGTAGCCTAGGTGACTGGCGAAAACTCGCTCAGTTCTGCCTGTATATATACACGTTTGCCAAATAATACGCATTTACTCATTATGGTGGCACAAACTATGATGATCAATATCAAAATTGTTAATTCTTCAACAATGCTTCATAGTCGATTATGCAATGTATCAAAACTGTCAATTCTTCAACAATTCTATCAATCATACGATACGACGCTTCATACTAGATGATGCAATGTATCAAAATTGTCAATTCTTCAACAATGCTTCATACTAGATGATGCAATGTATCAAAATTGTCAATTCTTCGACAATTCTATCAATCATACGATACGACGCTTCATACTAGATGATGCAGTATATCAAATTGTTAAGTCTTCAACAATGCTATCAATCGTATGACATAGTCCGGATGTGCAATATATCAAAATTGTTAATTCTTCAACAATGCTATCAATCATACGATACGACGCTTCGTAATAGATGACACGTTATTGTCAGATTACTTATTGTGGTATAACCTTCAATGTTACTCGCAATTGTTTGAAAAATACCATTTGTCAACAGACGTGTCATACTAATGAATTGTGTGATGATACATTGCGTAATTTACTTCAATTTTTTATACAACACTACTTCTACGATTGAAACAAATTTCTATATAAACGTCCCTTACCGCTTTACTCGCAAATTAGCAATTCAGCACTGTATACCACGGAAAATAAACTCTCTTCACCTTTCTGAAAACATAAACAAAGTTTACGGATCACACCTACTTTTTACCGTAACCAACTAAAATGTCTGCTAGCGAATTGAGTTACTATTCTTCAGAAGATGACATTGACCTTATAGAACAATACAAAACCGGATACTTTATTCAAGATTCTATGATGTACAAACCCTTCAGCATATTTCCACCACGCCAACGTCGTGCGACATATGTATACCGTTTAGATACCTGGTTAAGATACACATTGACAGCAAATTTTACTGAGGCAAATAGGACATTTGTTTTGCGTTGCCTGGATGATTTAAGAAAGTGGAACGATGAAGAATCTGAAGATAGGGTAATTGAAGACGATGCTACATCGGAAATATTCGAAATGTGGCCTGAGAGGATTAGACAGTACGACGAGCGCCAAATACGTAAGTGCCAATTCATATTCATTGTGGTCAATTATTCTAAAAGTAATTAATTAAATCAAATTAATGTTGAATTGCGTAGAATCCGTCGAAGGTGAAACCGGTGAACCGGATGAAGACTCGCAGACTGTAAGCCGCAATGGGGTTATCCGTCGTCAGGATTACCATGTAGGGGATATCGTCAGACTTGATATACCAGCCTCTGACGGGCAGAGAAGATTACTACTGTGCAAGGTGATGGAAGTTTTAGATAGTGGATGGTATAGGCTGG